TATTTAATACATTTTTGTTTTGACAGTGTGTGTGTGTGTGTGTATGAACCTGTGAGTAAGCATGTGGAGAACAGAAGTCAATGCAAATGTCTTCCTCCACTGCTGATTTATTGGGTTGGAAATGTAGTTCAGAAGGTACAAAGCCCTGAGTACAATCCCTGGCATTACATAAACCAGGCTTGATAGCACACATCTATAATCTCAGCACCCTGAAGGTCGAGCAGGAGGAACAAGGTTAAAAGTCGTTAGGCTACGTAGCGAGTTTGAGACCAGCCTGGGCTACATAAGAGACTGTTTCCCAAGTGCTGGGATTAAAGGTGTGCCCCACCACCGCCTGGCTAGGCAGAAGCTTTTAATTTCATACAGTATCATTTATAAATTCTTAGGATTATTTCTTGTGTTATTAAATTCCTTTTTAGAAACTACATGCCTACGCCTGTGCCTGTATCTTAACATGTTTCACCTAAGTTTTTTCTAGACGTTTACGTCATATTTAAAGTCTTTGATCCATTTCAAATGGACTTTTATGAAAGGTGAGAAGTATGGATCTCTGATAAAATTTTAAGTTGAATATACTAGAATATTTACCAAAATGCATATTTTGGTATCAATTTGTCCTTTATGGGGGTTGTTTAGAGTGCATTTCCTAATGTCAAACTAAACAAAATGAAGAATTAGTGGGTATATTAGAACTATTGTGTAAAATCAAGATGAATTTTTTAAAGCTATTCTTAAAACTAGTTCATGGTCAGTACTTTTTGCTATATTGATATCAAGTAAGTGGCTCAATTAGCAAAAGCCCTTTACTTACAAAGCAAAACCTACTTTTTAAAAAAAGCATGTGTAGCCAGTTTACAGCAAATCTTTTTGGAAAGTATTTTATATTCATTATTATTTTTTAAAATAACTTTTCCTGCTGGGCGGTGGTGGCACACGCCTTTAATCCCAGCACTCGGGAGGCAGAGGCAGGCGGATCTCTGGGAGTTCGAGGCCAGCCTGGTCTACAAGAGCTAGTTCCAGGACAGGAACCAAAAGCTACGGAGAAACCCTGTCTCGAAAAATCAAAAAAAAAAAAATTTTCCTATGGTGGTTAGTTTTTTTGTCAAGTTGATGCAAACTGTAATCATCTGGGAAGAGGGAAACTTCAATTGAAAAAAAATTCAGTAACCAGATTGGCCTGGGAGCAAGCCTGTGTTGCATTGTCATAATTGATAATATATGTGGGAAGGCCCTGTTCACTGTGGTTCCATCTCTGCGCAGCTGGTTCTGGATTGTTTTAGGAAACAGGCTGAACAAACTGTGGGGAGCAATACAATAAGCAGCATTTCTTCATGGTTTCTGTATCAGTTCTTGCTTCTAGGTTTCTGTCTGACTTTCCTCAATGGTGTACTGTTACCTGGAAGTATAGGATAAAATAGATCATTTATTATCCAAGTTGCTTTTGCTCCTGATGTTTTATTATAGCTTTAGAAACCTAAGGCATTGTGCTTGTGAGATATACATTCAGAAAAATATATAGAATTTATACATATAGTTTTAAATTTTTACTATTTTATGTGTATGGGTTTTTTTCTGCATAAATGTCTGCTCATGTACCACATTTGTGCCTGATGCCCACCGAGGCTAGGAAGGGGTATTAGATTCCATGGAACTACCATTATAGACAGTTGTGAGTCACCATGTGGGTGCTGGGAATTGAACCCAGATCTTTTGGAAGAGTAACCAGTGTTCTTAACCTCTAAACCATCTCTTCTGCTCTCAAAAATTTATACATACAACACAAATGATTATAAAGGAAAATTCAGGAGATCGTGAGATGGTTCAGTAGATAAAAGTACCTGCTGTGAAGCTTGACAACCCACATTGAATTCCCAGTACTCACTTGGTAGAAGGAGGGAACTGACTCCAGCAAATTGTTTTATGATCAGCACAAGTGTGCAGATCCACTGAGCTATTTTACCAACCCCTTACTTTATTGTTTTAATACTCGCATTTCTATTTCTAAGCAATCTAGTTTTATCTGATTGTTGAATTCTCTCACCAGGGCTTCATAGTGAGACTGTCTATAATAAATGAGGGAGGAAGGGAGGAGCAGACTTCATCATTCCTTACTACATCATGCATTGATAGTATGCTACTAAGTTATATGCCTTGAATGACACAAAGTTAAAAATAATGTATGTCACTTACTTTCAAATGGCTAAACAAATGAAACAGCTGTGAGTATTCATGTACCAGTGCATGTGGAAAATAGACGTTGATGCGCATTGTCTTCTTTAATTGCTTGCCATCTTTTCTTTTTGAGGCAAGGTCTTAACTATGCCTTGGCTGCCTACAACTGTGTAGACCAAGATGATCTTAAATCTACAAGATCTGCCTGCCTTTGCCTCCTGAGCTGTAGGATTAAAGGCACATGCTCACACCCAGCCTTCTACTTTATATTTTGAGCCTAAGGCTTACTGATTTGGCTAGGCTAGATAGCCAGCACATTCTAAGAATTCTCCCTTCTCCAGCTCCCCAGCCCTGGAATTGCAAGCATGCATTGCTGCACCTGGCTTCTAAAAGGGTGCTGAGGATCTAAATGTAGGTGTCCATACAAGTACTTTACTACCAGAGCATTCCCCAGCCCCCTGAAATATTTTCATATTGAAAAAAAAATCCCAAACATATTTTTTAAAAAGTAGCAAAATAATATAATGAAACTTGTTCATGATGTTAACCTGGATTCCTAATTGGTAGCTGCTTTCTTTATGTCTCAGAAGATGGAGATGTGGTAAGTTTTTTGTTTGTTTGTTTGTTTGTTTTGGATTTTCGAGACAGGGTTTCCCCGTAGTTTTTGGTTCCTGTCCTGGAACTAGCTCTTGTAGACCAGGCTGGCCTCGAACTCACAGAGATCCGCCTGCTTCTGCCTTCCCAGTGCTGGGGTTAAAGGCATGCGCCACCACCGCCCGGCAGAGATGTGGTAAGTTTGGGGCTAGCCTAGTCTACATAGTTCTGGCAGACAGGGCTAAATAGTAAGATCCTGTCTCAGAAAAAGTGATAAACGAGTAAAGAAGACAATGCGCATCAATGTCTATTTTCCACATGCACTGGTACATGAATACTCACAGCTGTTTCATTTGTTTAGCCATTTGAAAGTAAGTGACATACATTATTTTTAACTTTGTGTCATTCAAGGCATATAACTTAGTAGCATACTATCAATGCATGATGTAGTAAGGAATGATGAAGTCTGCTCCTCCCTTCCTCCCTCATTTATTATAGACAGTCTCACTATGCAGCCCAGACCAGCCTCAAACTTTAGGTACTCCATCCTAAGTACTGATATTACAAGTGTACACCACCATACCTTGTATAGCGTAAACTGACTTTGATTTTTTATATACCAGAAGCTTTATAGTTGGATCATATGGTAGTTCTATTTTTAATTTTTTGAGGAACCATTGTATTAAGTCCCTTAGTGACTGGACTAATTTAAATTCCCCCATCTTCATAATTTGTTCTGTATTTTCTTTTTAACAATATATTTATTTTCTTTGGTGTGTGTGTGTGTGTGTGTGTGTGTGCGCGCGCGTGTGCACTACATGGGTACAGGAGTCCAGAGAAGTCAGAGGAGATTTTGGAACCCCTGGAACTGGAGTTACAGATAGTTGTGAACTTCCATGTGGGTTCTGGGAACTGAACTGGATCCTCTGTAAGAGCAGTAAATGTTCTTAAACACTGAGCCATCTCTTCAGACTTCTGTTCCATTTTGTTTATGATAGCCACTTTTGCTTGGGTAGGATGGAATTTTGATGTTAATTTTCCTGGTGACTAGAGATAATTGAATATTTCTTCATGTATTATTAGCCAATCTTAAAAAGAAATGAATACATTATGCCAAATGAAATAAAACAGACATAAATACTGTATGTGTCCACTTAAATGAATTATCTAGAATAAGAAAATTCAGAAATAGAGAGTAGAATGTGGATTGGGGGGTAGATGTGGATAAGATTTTTTTTTGGTAGTTCTGGCAATCAAACATAGAATTTTGTATTTGCAAAGCATACATCTCCTAGTAAGCCACATTCTCAGTCCCCTAAAAACTGCTTTTCTTCTGTTTTAGAAATTAGTTTTGTTGTTTGTCCATGCCAGCTTGGAACTCACAGGTTTGGGTGATTCTCCATCCTCAGCTTCCTACTTAACTAAGACTGTAGGTGCATTCCATAGCACTCAGTTGGATAGGGCACTTTTATAATGCGTATAGATTTTCGGTTTAAAATGATGAATCATTTTGGGAATGAACTGAATTGATAATAGGACCAGCAAGATGTCTCAGTGTATAAAGTGCTTACCATGCAGACAGCTCGAGTTTGGTTTCTGGAACTCACACGAAGGTAGAACTAGAGAACCAACTCACACAAATGATAAAAATTTCAACAAGTGACAATAGCACAACATTGTGACCATACACTTAAAATAGTTAAAATAGGAAATTTGATTCTACATATATATTACTACAATTAAAAAAACTACTATTAGATGATTTCTAGAAGCTTACACAAAAGTCTTATAGAAATCATGCAATTTTACTTACTATGTATAGCTAAGTGAATTCAGGATTTGGATACCTGTATTAAATTTGGTGGATTGAGCTGAGCTGAGAACTAGGTTTCTGCATGTGAGACTTACTGAACTATATGCCAAGTGCTGTATTAGTCACTGTAGCTATATTAAATAAGATAAGGCATAGTCCCTGGAGTCTTAGTTGCTAAGTAGTACAGAAACAAGAATAAACTTATTAAGAAAGAAGCAATTAAAAATCAGGTCCTTGTTTTCCCCTTAATGATTTCTCTTGTAGGGTGACATTAAATTATCTTTTTTCCCCTCCCTTAGATTGCTATGGGAATATATGACCACATAAAAGGAAGTGTTTTCTGAGAATTCTGATACCTGAGATGTAAGTGGACTGACTGAAGAGTGAAACAGGAAAAAGTTCAGTGCCAACCTTAGTTATAATGGCTACGGATTCTGGGGAGCCAACTAGCACAGAAGATTCTGAGAAACCTGATGGGGTTTCCTTTGAAAACAGGGTTGCTCAGATTGCTGCACCTCTGATTGTAGAAGCTAGAATGAAGGAAAAAACAAGCACCTTCTCTACTGCCGGGGAAACCATTGAAAGAAAGAGATTTTTCCGAAAGAGCGTTGAGATGACTGAAGATGACAAAGTTGCTGAATCTTCCCCTAGAGATGAAAGAATAAAGGCTGCAACAAACATTTCAAGAGTAGATAAGCTTCCTACCAATGTGCTGAGAGGTGGACAAGAAGTTAAATATGAGCAGTGTTCAAAGGCAACCTCAGAATCCTCAAAAGATAGCATCAAGGACAAAAATGAAAAGGAAATGGAAGAAGAAGCAGAAATGAAGGCTGTAGCAACTTCCCCTAGTGGCAGGTTCCTGAAATTTGATATAGAGCTGGGAAGAGGAGCATTTAAGACAGTATATAAAGGACTGGACACTGAAACGTGGGTTGAAGTTGCTTGGTGTGAACTACAGGTGGGTTTATAATTTTCTTGGCTTTATGAATTCCATGTTTAGCTGCCTTGACCGCCAGAGTAATCCAGGTTGAAGAAAAGTGAAGATCCCTTCTACTGTTGTCTAGAATTTATGTTCCTTTCTAATCTGTTAGGAGCCCATGGCAAACTTTTTAAAAATTATCTTTCCCTGTTTTTCCTTTTTTTGGCAATGCTGAGGATGGAATCTAGAGCCTTTTTACATCTTAAGCAAGTATTCTACCAGTGAGATATATTTCCAGTCAATTACTTTTTTTTTTCAAAGATTTATTTATTATGTAAAGTGTTTTGCCTGCATATATGCCTGCAGGCCAGAAGAGGGCACCAGACCTCATTACAGATGATTGTGAGCCACGATGTGGTTGCTGGGAATTGAACTCAGGACCTTTGGAAGAGCAGTCAGTGCTCTTAACCTCTGAGCCATCTCTCCAGCCCCAGTTACTTTTATCTTAATTTTTGCAGTGCTGGGAATAAACCCAGAGCCTTATACAAGTATTCTATTGTTGAATTATACTCTGCTTCTCTCTATCTAATTCAATGCTGGGAATAAACTCAGAGCCTTATTCAAGTATTCTATTGTTGAATTATACTCTGTTTCTCTCTATCTAATTCATTCATTTGCCTATTTAGATTATGATGGTTGGACCAAATTTGGGGCCTTGTACATGCTAAGCAAATGCTCTACCTCTGAACTATAAAAAGAAATATCCAGCCTTTGGAAATACAACTAATTTTCACTCTATATTTACCATTTTTCATTTGCCATTTTGAGACAAAGTCTCCAGTGTAGCCCAAGCTGGACCTGAATTCTGTATGTAGCCTAGGCTGGGCTCAAACTAATGTTCTTCCTGTCTCAACCTCTCTAATGCTAAGATCGTAGGCATATGCCCATCATGCTTGCTTTCCTTTCCTGTTTTGAAAAAGAAAAAGTCTATGTTGTGACATTCTTTGGGAAATTTTTTTATTAGTTTCAGGAAATTCCCCAAATTCTCATTCATATCTCATTTTAAGAACTGAATTTAAAAAATAAATAAAAAAAAGAGTTTATATGTCTCATTGGTTGATTGTTGCACTATATAATTCAGTGTATGATAGAAGTGTATTGAGTATAGTATCTACCTTTTTCTTACAAAAAACATGAAATTCAAATATTTTCTAAATAGTAAAGATTTTCTTAACTCTTTGAAAACTTCTATTGATATTCTGTCCTCATGCCTTTGAAATTTACAGCAATGTGAAATCACCAGAAGCTATAGAGGTTAGTTAGCTCAATTTGTTTAGTGAGGAAAAATTAAAGAAAAAAATGGGGAGAACAACTAAGTTACCAGATATTTTGTTCTATGATAGATTTTTTTTGTGTGAGGGAGACTGACAAATGAGGGAGAAAGCAGCATAGAAGGTATTAAAATGAGAATAGTTTCCAGCAGATGTAGGTCAAATATAAGGAGAACAAGCCTTGGTAACCTCAGTCAACTCATGAGAAAGTTCAGTGTTATATGGGATGCTTAAAATTAAGATTGGGACTGGGATTATGGCTCAGTTTAGTACACAGTGCTTGCCCTAACATGCATGAGCAAAGCTTTGAGTTCAATCTCAGCACACATATACCACATACCTGTAATCCTGGTGCTGGGGAGGTGGGGGCAGGAGGATTAGAAGTTCATAGACATCCTTGACTACGTGAGACCCTTCCGCAAAACAACAGCAACAAAACCAACAATAGAAACAGAAAACAAACCACAAAATTAAGATTGAATAAAGACAGTCACTAAGTATAGGTTGCTTTTAGTTATTTGTTGCATAGGCTTTTTATAAAAAGAAAAAGAAATTGGTATGTGTAGTAGGTTGAATAATGACAACTCAAAGATGTCCATGTCTTCATCCTTAGAACTTTACATTGTTAAAAGTACCTTTGTAGATGAGACTATTAGAGATGGAAGTAGGGAAATTATTTTGGTTCATCTAATTACCAGTGTTTGTAAGGAGACAGGTAAGTTGGCAATCATTTGAGAAAGATCTAAGAATCGAGGCAGAGTTTGGAGTGATGCTGTTACAGGACTTGGGTCACCAAGTCAAAGGATGCAGATAGTCTAGAAAGCTGGAAAAGGCAAGGAATTAAACAGTTGCCTAGGGTCCCCAGAAGAAACAGTGCTCTTGTCTGAATTCTAATCTAGTGTGATTCACCATAGATTTCTGATTCTCATTTCCTCAAGATAATATGTCTGTATTTTGATCCACTAAGTTTATGCTAATTTGTTAGTATAGTGATAAATTAATACAAGCTAATAACAGTTGTCATTATTTTTTTGGTTTCTCAACAAATACACTCCTTGCAATGTGCCAGACTTATACTATGTGCTCTAGACACAAAAAGCAGACATAGCCAGATTTCATAAATCTTATAGTAGGAGTTTATAGTCAGTATAGGAAGAAGCCTTGGAGATTAGCGTTAGCAAAAGATGAAAGGGTTGTTAAATATGGGTTTGTTCAAAGGAAATGAGAGGTTAGAAGTAGAAAAAACCAGAAGTACTACTCTCTTACTACATCATTTTTCTTTCTGCATTTATTTTCAGGTGATTTTCAAGTTACAAAGATATATTATAAACTAAAATATTGAACTTAACCAGAGTATCTCAGTTTCCCCACAAAAACTCCTCTTTTCAGTTCTATGATCATATTCACGTTTCTATACTGTGTTTACTTACATGTTCTCCCTCCTCTTTAAGTTATTCCTTGAAAGGGTACTAACAGTTTCTCCCTTCCCCTCTTCTCTTTTTCTTTCAGAGATGAGGTCTCACTGTATAGTCTTCAAAGACCAAGAACTCATTAAGTAAACCATATTAAACCACAATTATAAAATCCTTTTGTTTATTAAATGCTAGTATTAACAACATGCATTACCGTGGTTGGCTAGCTAAACTCCACATTTTTGGCAAGATTACCACAAAAGTGATAACTCAGTCTGTGATAGCAGGGGATACATGGTGTTGCTACATATTAATGGTAGTGTAATTTTGACCTCTTGACTACAGTATTATCTGCCAGATTATTCTTACTATAAAGTTATTCTTTTTTCTTTTTAGATTAGTATGTATCTTTGGAGTATGTACTTTGACACTGTAAAAAGTACGCTAAGAATTTAAATCACTAATTTTTGGTGCTCTCTGGTGTGTTTACATAGGTAATCTACAGTGTAATTATGGCATTCTGGGTTTGTTTCTTTTTTGTGAGATTGATCTGAAACTTGCTGGCCCAAGCTGGCCTTGAACTTTTGATCCTCCTGCCTCAAATAGCAAGTTTCTATTTCCTATTTTTCTTCTATGTTTATCAATTGCCACTATCTCTTAGCTTTGTGTGGTCTTTCCTCACTATGCTGTTAAGTTTCTGAAAATTTAACTATAGAGGAATTTGTAGTTGAGGTGTTTTAGTATAGTTAGTAACAATGGGATTATATACTTTGCATTTATCATAAAATTAAAATTTAATTGAACACTTGTATAAATTCTTACTATTTTAGGAGAGATGGCTCTGGTTAAGAGCACTGGCTGTTCTTCCAGAAGTCCTGTAAAAAAGAAAAAAAATCTTACTTTTTTATTTAATTTCGGCAACAGTTATATGAGGTAAAGATTATTATTTCCAGATAGCAGATCTGAGGTTTACACACATTAAGTAACCTGGTCAAAGAGTGTATTCCATCATTTATAGTTTTATGTACATGTGTCAAAATTATGATACTTGGGCAGTGATGGTGCAAGCCTTTAATCTCAGCACTTGGGAGGGAGAGGCAGGAGGATCTCTTTGAATTCAAGGCCAGCCTGGTCTACAGAGGGAGTTCAGTGCTACATAAAGAAACCCTGTCTTGAAAAAAACAAAAGAAATGTAATTACATGTTTTTCCCCTTCCTCCAACCCCTCCCATTTCCTCCCTCCCTTTCAAATTCATGCCCTCTTATTTATATTACTACACATATAAATATATAAATGTAATCTTCTAAATCCATTTGTATTGTTTATATGCATATATATTATTATCTTTAAACTTAGCATGCCAAGTTGTGTTACCATTGTTCAGGTCTTGTTTAGGAATCCATATTGTTGAGATTTCAAGGGTGTAGTCTCCCTGTCATATATAGAAGACAATATGGTATCACCTTCCTAGTTCTCCGGCTTTTACAATCCTTTTCTGCCCCTCTGTGCTGTTCTCTGAGCCTTCAGTGTTATGTTATAGATGTAGTAACTGGGACTGGGCACCACAAAGTCAGTTGTTCTCTGTATTTTGACAAGTTCCTGCTTTCTGTAATCATCTCCATCTGATGCAAAACATAAGTTATTTTTACTGCACGGTGGTGGTGTACATCTTTAATCACAGCACTCAGGAGGCAGAGGCAGGCGGATCTCTGTGAGTTCGAGGCCAGCCTGGTCTACAGAGCGAGTTCCAGGACAGCTAGGGCTATTACACAGAGAAAGCCTGCATCAAAAAACAAAAACAAACAAACAAAAAGCTTATTTGATGAAGAATAAGAGCTCCACCCACTCTTAAGAAGGGCTTAGAGGTCTAAATCTCTGCCTCCTCTTTCTTACTTTTAGGTGATTTCTCACAAAGTTACCTAGGCTAGCCTCAAATTCCTGGGCTCAAGTGACTCCTATGCTATCATTCTAAGTAATTGAAACTTCAAGACCACAAGTGCTCACCTCCTTATCAGGTTTCCCAGCCCTCTTTTATGTTAAGTAATTTTTTTGCATGTTTTTTCCCTCTTGTTTTAAAATTTTTTTTATTGATATTTATCGAGCCCTACATTATTCTCTGCTCCCCTCCCTATCTCTCCCTTCCCCACTTCAATACCCCCCTAAGGTCCCCGTGCACCCAATTTACTCAGGAGATCTTGTCTTTTTATACTTTCTACTTCCCATGTAGATTATATCTATGTAAGTCTCTCTTAGTGTCCTCATTGTTGTCTAAATTCTCTGGAATTGTGGCTTGTCG